CCTACTACCCTACCTCTCTCTCTCTCTCTCTCTCTCTCTCTCACACACACACACACACACACACACACACACACACAGGTTTTCCACCCACAGATATGCTCAGCATTCTCTCAGCTAAGTTAAACACAACTATTCAACAACTCACAGGAGTTATACAGAGGAAAAATTTTACCCAGACTAATCCACTTTCTTAAGACTTTACTACAAAAGCCTACTTTACTTTGGCACTCTTTCTAATGTGTTTCCAGAGGTCTTTACATTCTAAAGAGAGGAATGGTATAACAGAATATAAAGAGAGCCTCTGGTAAGATACCTTCATTCTCTCCAAAACAGCTCCCAAACTATAAATGTAGCACACTCAGTGAATCTCTGCCATAGCAGGTGCAGTATTCCACTGGAGAATACTCACACCAACCACCACTACATATAAAACCGCTAAAGGAGGCAGAAAATCAGAACCTTCCTGCTTTTCAATGAATATGAGAGTTCATTAATATCATTTTTTAGGATTTATTTTATTGCAGACTTAGTGGATACCATTTGTATACATATGTACTTAAAAACATTGGTTTAACAATAAAATTGTATTCACTATGTCCTGGTCATGTAAACCCTTTTTCATGACTTCAGTGAAACTAATAGTAGCTACTCACATGAGTAACAGGTTGCAGATCAACATATTAAGACTTCAAGGGCCCAATTCTACATTTCTGACTCCTATATGTAATCCTTACTTACGCAAGAAATCTTGACTTCATCAGGTTTATTTGTATAAGAAAGACTTGTCTGAATAAAGGCTGCAGAGTTGGACCCAGGGGGATGTTCAAAGAATAGGGAAATCTGGACAGCTCAGGACATAGTCTGAACACCCAACTTTTTGTAGTTACTGCTAATGAATTAACTCAATACAATCAATCCGAGCAGCTTTCTTAGTACAAACGAGTGTGAACTGATGACACGCTTAGGCCATAGCCCATCGTTGTGGAATTTTTTCCTGTCACATTACTAAATTTAGAGTTCCCTGAAAAACTTAATTTATTCCTTTAAAGGTTTGATATCTAGCCATGCAGCTGTCCTTACCATAGTTATAATTGTTCCGAAGATAAGTCTTCTGGGTAGCTTTAATAGGTTTGCATTTGCAACGCTCTGCAAAACAGAAAACCTTTGCTTTAGAAGAACAAGGCATTGATTCAAAGACAAACTCTCCCATCCTCCCCCCCTCCCCATTGCCTTTAAAAACAATCAAACAGATATTGATGGCAATCAGATGGCAATAATTAATTTATTTATACATTCAGGTTTTATTAAAAACCTTAGGGTATTATTAATCTCCTCTGCATAAAAACAGTGAAAGTGAATATCACATTGCTGATTTAAGGATATTTACAAATAAATCAGAGTGGAGCCGAAAGAAAATCAGAATTTCTGTCCTGCAGGAAATTCTGATGTTTCAACCTTTGTTTTCATCCCAAATCTGAACAAATAGTTGAAATAGCAATACTCTTAGGAAAGAAAATATTTAAAAAATTGGAAATGGCAAAATGTTTTGTTTTGAGCCTGTTCACAGTCTGTCCAAAGCAGACTGTGAAGAACTTCAAAAAGATCTCACAAAACTAAGTGATTGGGCAACAAAATGGCAAATGAAATTTAATGTGGATAAATGTAAAGTAATGCACATTGGAAAAAATAACCCCAACTATACATACAATATGATGGGGACTAATTTAGCTCCAACAAGTCAGGAAAAAGATCTTGGAGTCATCGTGGATAGTTCTCTGAAAATGTCTACGCAGTGTGCAGAGGCGGTCAAAAAAGCAAACAGGATGTTAGGAATCATTAAAAAGGGGATAGAGAATAAGACTGAGAATATATTATTGCCCTTATATAAATCGATGGTACGCCCTCATCTTGAATACTGCGTACAGATGTGGTCTCCTCATCTCAAAAAAGATATACTGGCACTAAAAAAGGTTCAGAAAAGGGCAACTAAAATGATTAAGGGTTTGGAACGGGTCCCATATGAGCAGAGATTAAAGAGGCTAGGACTCTTCAGCTTGCAAAAGAGGAGACTAAGGGGGGATATGACAGAGGTATATAAAATCATGAGTGATGTGGAGAAAGTGGATAAGGAAAAGTTATTTACTTATTCCCATAATACATGAACTAGGGGTCATCAAATGAAATTAATAGGCAGCAGGTTTAAAACAAATAAAAGGAAGTTCTTCTTCATGCAGCACACAGTTAACTTGTGGAACTCCTTACCTGAGGAGGTTGTGAAGGCTAGGACTATAACAGAGTTTAAAAGAGAACTGGATAAATTCATGGTGGTTAAGTCCATTAATGGCTATTAGCCAGGACGGGTAAGGAATGGTGTCCCTAGCCTCTGTCTGTCAGAGGGTGGAGATGGATGGCAGGAGAGAGATCACTTGACCATTGCCTGTTAGGTTCACTCCCTCTGGGGCACCTGGCATTGGCCACTGTCAGTAGACAGGATACTGGGCTAGATGGACCTTTGGTCTGATCCGGTACGGCCTTTCTTATGTTCTTATGTTTCTTATGTTATCTTCCTATTGTGGCACATTGCCTCATGGGAACTGTAGTTCAGGAGTCAGATGGCCTCGTTCTCCCCTATGGATCAGACTCCCTGGCCAAACTACATCTCCCATGATGCATCTGCAGTCATGGGACTTCCATGATTCACCACTCAGCCAGTCAGAGGGAAGACTGTATTGTATCACAGGAGATGATGTCTCGGAGGGAGCCTAGCCCATAGGAGAGAATGGGGCTGGAATTACAGCTCCAATGAGGAAATGCACCACATTAGGGAAATGAAATTTAATATTGAACTGACTTGAAACTATACATTTCAGCCAGTTCAACAAACCGACTCAAAATGAGATATTTCATTTTGATTTCCCCAACAGAAAACTGAAAATTTTTGCAGAAACTGCATTTCCCATCAAGAAATCATTTTGATGGAAAATTCCCAATCAACTATCAATCACAGACTAAATTCTGCTTTCAGTTATACTGCGTCAAACCCAGAATAAACGCACCAGCAAAACTGAGGGCAGGTTGTAGACTCCCTATGGCAGTTCTCTATAGAAGAGTATGAGCGTGAAAGCACAAGCACGGCCAGCACATTTGTTACAGGGACATAATCCCTTTAAGCTCAGGGGCTAATGGGATTTGTAGTCTCCAGACCAGGCACATCATTAAGAAATGTCAGATGACTTAGCGTCATGTAACTTCCTAGTGGCTACTATATAAAGGAATGCTTCTGGCAAAGTCTTGTGAAGGTTGGTTCTGTGGCCATGTAATATGAGGCCCAGAAGATATCCAGGAAGGCTACCGAAGGGAATAGTCAGTCAGTCTTCTCACCTACCATCCTGCTGAAAGGTCTTGTCTGGATGTTGCAAGTGTCTTGTATTGTGTTGATCCTGGTTTGAAATCTCCTTTAAGTTAATAAAACCAGCACTAAAGAAATGACCTTGGACTGAACTATCAACTGAGCTTTATTTTACCTTCCTTAGTTGGCACGTCTGCCCACTCACTGGCCTACACACTCTACAAAGGACTGAACTAGAATCCAGCCGGAGATTTTTGACTAGTGCTCAGACAATTCTAATCACTGAAATTTTTGCATTTGATCTTTTTATTCTAACATGTACTAAAAAGAATCCTCTCAATGCCCTAAAGAAATATATGGCTAAAATATAATCAATCTCACTTCCCATCCCACACCAGAAAGGCAAAACAAAGAGCAAATTAAGGTGCTGATCCAGCAAACCTTACTCATATGGATGAGATAGACATGACATTTTGTACGTATATACTATAAATATTGGTATGAACAAGGTAATCAGCTTTGTTTGGATACTCTTCCATTTATAATCTGTGTTTTACTTGTCTCAATATCATCATGATATCTAATGTGAGTTTTTGACACTGACTTTTGTGAGAGCAGTTCCTATGTTTCTACTTCATTCAGGGAAAGAATAAAGGAAGGCTCTTGTAAGTAAATTAACACTTGAAAATTGCATGAATTATAATAAATAGTTGTGGCGTGCTAACTAAACTACCCTATGCACTACTGCAGATCATTGGCTTGGGATAGGAGATGTGAGGAGGACATTTTTTTTTGGCAAGAACCCTGGGGAAGGGCTCTTTGTAATCACTCCCCTTTCTAGATACCCAGCACAAAGGAAAGTATAATTCAGCTCATAGAGAATATGCAGATCCCTGTGTACAATAATCAATATGTGGCCACGTAATTGCCCTTCTATCTGAATTTGCTACACAACTGTGCTCTAGAATCTAAGCTTTAATTATCACAGTGAGGTTACCAGCCCTTCCGGTTGCAAAGATAATTCAAAATATAAACCCATGCAGCAGTGTCTACCTGAGGTTGCAGACAGCTGGAAACAATAATACAGGTGGGTACACTTCATTCATTTTAAATAGGTTGCTAACTCAGTCTGGAGCCTTTACTCATAATGTTGCTATCTGAAGAGTTAACTATTGATCATTTTAGCAGGAAAAAAAAATCAAGCTACTTCATTATTTTGGATGTAGTGGAAGTTATTGAGACTTGGTAGAGTGGAGCAGCTGATTGCTGTTGACAGTTGCTGGGGTAAGCTAGAGAAATTTAAACACCCCCCCCCCCAAACACCACCAAATTTACAGTACCATCCAGAGCCATACTCAGAGCCCGCTCCCTGCTGGCTCCTCCCACCCCCATCCAGCCTCTCCCCTCCCAGCTCTGCTGTGCCCAATAGAGAATTGTTTGCTAAGCACACGGCATTCTACTTCTATTCAGAAATACATAAAGAACATCCTATGAAGTAACAACTGCATCAGTACTCTTACTAGAAAGATCATGTTCCAGAAATAGGCATATCCTCTTATTGATCTGTTTTGCGGTTCTAGCTGAAGCAACACATAATTCAGAGCAGATTAGTAGTCAAATTAGGAACAGAACCCAGGTGCCTTGACTCTTAGGGTATGTCTATACTACGAGAGTAGTTAGATTTTACTTAAATCGAATTTTTGGAATCGATATTGCAAAGTCGAACGTGTGTGTCCACACTAAGGACAGTAATTCGACTTTGTGAGTCCACACTAACGGGGAAAGCGTCGACATTGGAAGCGGTGCACTGTGGGCAGCTATCCCACAGTTCCCGCAGTCCCCGCTGCCCATTGGAATTCTGGGTCGAGCCGCCAATGCCTTCTGGGTAAAAAAATGTGTCGAGGGTGCTTTTGGGTAACTGTCGTCATCCGTCCATCACTCCCG